TGGATCACTTTTCTAGGAGCTGATCCCGATATACGTGTACATATGGCCACGCCCTTGCATATGGCTGCAAAGCTTGATGATTATCGCGTAGCTTCGCGCCTCCTAGAACATGGAGCTCACCCGGCTCCTCTAGATGAGTACAATCGAACACCAATAGATTATCTTCGTTCTGACAGCTCGCTAAAGCCTTTGATTGAGACATTTACAGGTTTGCTTATAAGCTTGTCGGTCTTTATGCGTATTCTTTCTCACATTATAGTGAATATATTCTGCCCTCAATCGCATTGTTAACCCAATAAGCCAATAAATTGCTAGTGAGTTTGTGGTGTCTCTGAAAGTATACGAATTTTTAATTTAATACACAGGTTAACTTCATATTTTATTTCCTACTCACTAATGAAATATTTGTTTAGTTTATACTCAAAGCCGATGCACCTATGAACATTCTAAGTTCAATTAAGCTGCAAGTGATGCAATACCCCATTATCTTCCTCAACTCAATCGCTTAAATGTTTTGTGCTTACTCAGCTGCCTTTGAATTGGCATTTTTTTAGGAGCATAAATTAATTTTGACATCTGCAGAGATAAGGGCTTGAAGTCCTAATAGATCTAGTTTCACTTTTCCTTCAGATTACATACAATTTTGTTTCTCCAAAAATTTAGGGGTTTTCGAACGACCATTTTAAAATGATAGTTTTTTTGTCTTGTACTTTGAGCGATTAATTGTTTGATAGAATTTCATAGTAATTTTTTGCTATTGGTTTTCATCCTAAATAAGTCTTGATTTTTTTACGCTTTATTTTTCTAGGTTCTGTTCCCTCTCTCCAATTTATTACTAGGCTTGCAATCAAGCGTTTAATTCCCTCTTGTGATCCTAAATATGTAAAAAAATTAAAGCTTCCTTCTTTTCTTTCACACTATGTTTCTTTCAGTTTTTACTCCTAGTCATCTTACTTATTCGATATGCTACATGCTTTTAATGACGCGTCCCTAGGCGCTCAAAAAGTTCCGGTGTTAAGCTACCATGACCCATACTTCATACTTTTGTTTTAAACCTTACTTAACTGCCTATTGTTGATTGATTTTCAAGTTTTAAACCAATGTATTTTGTGATTTTTAATTTTTTTGTTTTATTTCAACGTTTTAAAAAAACATGGCTTTCCGATAATATACTTGGTACTAAATGCCTATTCTTTTATTCTTGAATGGACTAAAATGCCTATGATGAACAAACCTGTCC